GGACCCCTCTTTTTAAAAATCACGTTTGGCTTGATTATGTGTGAAGATTATTTGTGCCAATTTTTATGAACAAATCACCGATGAATTTTTTTAAATTATATAAATATGCAGCAAGAAATGCCGTTTTTTTTATTAAAATCAGGAAAATATGATAAAAATGAATTATTTTCAAAGAATTGTAAGGTACTGGGGAATGTTATATTGAAACAAATAGGTATTAAATTGTGCAGTGTAATTTATAAGTAAATACTTAATTTGTGGCAAGACTGACAAATATTTTATATAGATTTTTTACAATTGTGGCAGTAATCCACTATACTTATTACTATGATCACAAGTCAAAATTCAAGTTTTTACCAAATATTATCTTTTAAACTTAACGGTTGTGTTCTTACGCATAGTAACTTGGCTCGCAGCGAGCAAGCGAAACATTTTACATTTGTAATCAAAGATATGGCATTAATTTACTATTTTTATGGATTTCACAGTCCAAAGTTTCACTTTTTGCCAATAAATTACAGAGGGAGGCATTTCATTAGCCAAAATATAGTTTTACAAAAGAGGGACGAAAGATACCAGAGGGACAGTCAGGTGTGTACATATGTTGGTACTAGGGTGATATATATCCAGTAAAGCAACTGATTTTATGTGAAAGCTCTGGAATTTGAAATGAGTTTATCATTGTTTACATTTTTTTTTGTACAAGTGTTACGGCAGGGAATGTATGAAATTACTCATGGGTTACCTTCTTCATGCTATATATCATGTAATTCCCGTATTAAGGATCATTTCTGGTAACCAAATATTCATATTTAAACGTCTGATATGCCTGGTATACATAGGGAAATACTTTAACAACAATTGTTTACTGACCGGCGATTTTGCCGTCTGCCATTTTGCGGGGAATGAAACGTTGATTTTATCTCTCTTAATACCAATTCGTCCCCTGGACAATTGATCTAATATTGTATTTTTAATACCACACATTTAATATTTTATGGTTATACCCTGCCGGACACAAATATATTGTAAATATCTAGATGGTTGTGATGAAATATGTTTTATGTTATTTACTTCTATGTACTTGCGAATATCGTCTGCTAAATTAATGCGCACGCAGTGGTGTCCGATTGCATATTTCAAGTTATTTTATTGATATTATGAGCTCTATTGTTTAGTTTTAATGTTTTATGTTAAAGGACAATCATAGGACGAAGCAAGATGATTTCAATTCTATGTTTTTCAATATCGTAATTTTGTATAGTTCCGGCTTCCCGGAAAGGACAAGTAACTATTGGATTAGTATGTCACGTGACACTTATGACTTTTGTATATAAACGCGTGAGCATTCAGTAATGGCAGATAGCCCAAAGTTCTGCTGGCGGCAAGTTCAAAAAGTTCACTATCATTAAAATTGTAAACAAAGCAGTAAAATAAGCTTAAGGTGAGCATAAGGATAAATATGGAATATTAGTAGCCGTCTTTTTGTACAGTTAGCTATCTCCCACCACGTCGGACATCACAAATATGAATTTAGATCGTAATTTAGTTCCTATGCACTATGATATATTGTACTGTATGCAAGTATTAGAATTGTCATAATTCGTTATTTATTCAAATATATTTAAACAGTTCCACAAATAAAACTGTTAACATTGAAATGATATTCTATCTTTATCAATCTTGGATACATATAAAAAGGAATATGCATTTACACTGGTAAAACAACTTGAGCTGGAGGACGCTCGTTCGAAATTAAAAACTATGGAAAGCCGTTAGCAACACAAATAGCACAGTAACAAATAAATACAAAGGAAGCCGTTTAATACACATACATTAACCAAACAGAGGAACTATATTTAAACACAAACTGAGGTGCTCCGGGGAGCAGATACTGCATTTTATGAGTGTTCGTATGTAAACTGCCCAGTATAGGACAGGATACTCTCGGGTGGCTTACAGAATTATTAAACAAATTCAAAGCAAACTTATGTGGAGAAGATATTCCAAATATTTTTTACAATAATTCACATGCGTTTATATTTTAAAACAGAAAGTTAGGTATGACTTTCCAAAGGATAGAAATGTCTAAGAAACCGAAATTTCTAGTAAATGTTCAAAATTTCGACCCCATTTATTTCTAAAAGTAGCACATGAAGGTACATTTTTTATTACATATTTGAATAGACTAGGTGAAAAATAGCTTGTATGCAAACTTTCGTCAAAAATTCACCTTGGGATCTAAACTTATCGTATGCCCTGAATACGATGAACGTCGAAAAGTTACTTTAACTGTAAATTGCATAAGAATGGCCCTTCAAGGTGCCATAAATGAAGAGTTTTAAAATGAAATTTTGACTATTTAATCTCAATATATTAATCATTGTTGCATAACGTGACTTTTACTAACAAGTTAAAATATTAGTAAAAGTATTTTAAATGGTGATTATGCCTTACGAAACATAATATGTCGACTTTCAAATATAACTTCAAAAAATATCTAAGTGAACCGTTAAACAAGAAGTCAGCTTTTTTACTCACAGGCACTCAGGGCATTGAAATTAACACCTTTTTTAGTCTTGTGTTTGATAAATTATTTTGGATAAATTAGAATGTCTTAAAAGAGAGGCGAAAGATACCAAAGGGATATTCAAACTCATAAGTCTAAAACAAACTGACAATATCAAGGCAAAAAAAAAAAAAAATTGATTTAGATAACTAAACTTATGGAGAGTTGTCTCATGGGCACTCATACCATATCTTATTTCTATATAATTTGAAATATTTAAATGTTTTCCTGTTTATTTACATATGGTTTTACAATAAAAGTAGTTGATATGGCTATTATTCAAATATTCTTATGTAGAAAATAAGAATTAGAAGATTGTATTAAAAAAATACAATCACAGGGGAAAAAAAGAAAAAATGTCCATGTCCCAGACGCCTGTAGGTTCCCTTAATGACGAAAAAGATGGACAGGATAAAGGTGCTTTTAGTTGACCTTCAAGAGGCATGCTAACAGATACACCAAAATTCTGACAAAATGTCCTAGACAAAAGATTTCAGTTAGTATCTTGTGCCACTTTTGGTTCCGAGAACGAACCGCTGTGTGTTCTTTCGAAAGAAGTAAGAATTTATCCGAAAAATACCTATATGGTCTAAATATTCATATGATCTTCTCCATTAATAACCCAACGAGTATTTACTCATATGGTTTTTAAGGTGACCTGCACGAACACCATGTTATTATTGGATCACTGTAATTCTAAACGTAAAAGATCAAAGTATTTTTTGAATTACAATGGTAAACAAAAATAGTGCTCTGATTAGACCGTTTTATCTCCAGTCTCCGAATCTTGGAACTGAACGTGGATTTTTTTCTTTATCAAGTTGTGAATCGACTCAATGTCGGCACTTTTGCAACTTTAGACTTCGTAAAGAAAAGCATTAGTTAAGTTATTTTCAGTTCCTTTAGGACAAAATTGTGATGAATTGCCATAAAAATCAACTTAAAACCATTTTTATGATTATCTTGTATGATTAAGACCAATCATTGTAGTAGATGTCAATTTGAACGACATATTCTGTATACAATTAGGTAACACGTGATGTTTTCTCCCATTTAATGGGGATAAAAGTGATAATAAACGAAAGTTTAGCACACTATTCAAGGACAAAAAATGTTCATGTGTTATAAATATGAATCCATTTGCACTAGACCAACATGCTTAATCTGATTTATGACTTGTGCGAGTTCAAATAGAACCAGCGGAACGTTGAAGCAGCAACCCTGACCTCTAACACTCGAAGCGATCACAATACCATTTAAAATTTTGTTTTTTGTTTTTGGTTGTATATTTTGGGTTGAGAGTTGTATAAATACTTTTTTAAACATGTATTTTCAAATTGTGCAATAGAAAAGAATACTATCAATTTTAGTACACACGACAGTTGTTTTTGGGGTAACCTGATTAGGTCTTCAACAGACTTATAGTTGGAAAAAACATAATAAGTTAAAAAGAGGCCAAACTAGCTCAACTCTGCCTACAGGAGTTGCAACGTTAAATGACATTACATTTTCATTTATGCATAACAGTGTGTGTGTGTTATTTATGAATAAGAACAATCGCAAAAGGGCAGATTTATCAAAAACGCAAGTCAGTTATATAAAAGCATTTATACTGCAAATACACTGTTTTATCAAATAACAATTATAATAGTAAATGGAAGAACAATATGCAATCAATAATAATAATACCCAGATAACATTGGCTTTGTTAGAGTTAACACCACTAGACATATAATACAATTTTTTTTTCAAAATTGAGACGAATCGAATCTGTCAAACATGCAAAAGAAATGGAATAAGACAAACTGAATGAAACAGTTAATTTTTTAGTAGTTATGTACGATCAACTCTCGAATTACCTTGCAATATTCAGTATGGTAATCAAAACTATCATTAAACATTACTGGAAGCTTGCGCTTTCTTCTCTGCAAATCGAAATGTTGTAGAAAGAAGAAAAATGAAGCTGATCTTCTATATGCACTCTGTAGTATATGATTTCAACTAAATAGGTAAATTCAATAACTAGATCAAAATTATTGCTGGTATATCAAAAGCTTTATACCATTCAGTTCATAAATTTTCTATTAGATACAGGTTTAAATCTTATAATATTTTCAATGTAATGTCCTTGGAAAAGTACGATAAGCAAAAACTGGGAACAATACCCAATATATATATATAGAAAAAAACGTAAAAAATATTTAGTGAAAAGAAGAAAATAACAAATTAAGTGATCGCATACTGTAACAAGAAGAAACATATGTGACCTTTTTTTAACGTTGATTTAAAAAAGGGTAATATAGAATTAGGATTAGAACAGAAACGGTTTATAAAAATATTACTAGTGATCAGATATTGATCCAATAAATGAACAGACAGCGAAGTGGAAGAAAAGGAAATAGACAACATAAGAGATGTGTATTGAGAGAAAGTGATAATCATTATTGTAGTTAATGAGGAGTTCTACTGATGAGTGTGTATTGGTTGAATTGTCTTAGATAATTATATTGATCTGCCATCCACGTGGAGATTGTCCCGCCTTCTACAGAAAACAACTTGATTCCGTTGAAAGTTCGGAGAGGTGTGAAAGTTAGAAGAATTTCTCAAATGAGAGTTACGCCAAATATTTAGTTATACGAGGGCTTATAAACAAATAAAAATTCCAAGATGATGGTTGTCTGAAAATGGAAATTTTTATTCTAAATGTTGGAAACGAAATTCAAAATTTAAATATTTGCTTTTGACTTTTATTAACTGGTATATGCATTATGATACACAATATGGCTGGCGAAATAGACATTGAAAATACAACGAATACATATTTGACTGAATTACAGGCAACAACTACAAATACAAATTCTTTTAAAACTTTAGAGTTTACTTTTTGGAATCGAACCAAAACGAATTTTCTTAACGGCTCGTCGAATGGTTCCAATCATGAAATAAGTTTATCGGACGAGTCGTTGGCTGGACTTATCGTACTTTATACTTTAACAACATTATTTTCTGTGACCGGAAATATCTTTGCCGTCCTTGTTTTTACAAAGGGACGCCATTCTAGGACGGATTTGAGACACTTTCTGGTCAATTTAGCTGTAGCAGATTTAGTAATGGCAATGTTTTGTATGCCATTTACCTTTGCTGATGTCATTTTAAACGAATGGATATTTTCCAAACCAATGTGCCCTATTGTTTTGTTCGTACAGCTTCTAGCAGTGACAGCAAGTGTTTTAACAAACATGGCTATAGGAATAGATCGTTTTTTAGCCGTAACATTTCCTCTTCACCTGCGTGTGACATTTTCGAGGAAAAAATACGTCATCAGCGTCATTTGGATATGTGCATTTTCCTTAGCTTCAGTTCAGTTCTTTGAAGGACGTGCGGTGGACGTTGGTGGTGGGAACCTGAAATGTATAGAGACTTGGGAGAGTGCAGAGTCTCGTCGTATATATACAATTTTTATATTACTTTTTACGTATATTATCCCATTATTGATATTAGCTATAACGTATACTATTGTTGGGATTATTTTATGGAAGAGAACGGCGCCAGGAAACGAAGACTATGCTAGAGACAGACAACGGCTGAAATCCAAAATAAAGGTAACTTTAAAATGCTTTTCTTCTCAGAAACATATATGTTTAATTCCAGGGAGGAAATAAGTAGGAGCAAGTTTTTAGCCCACAGTCCCTAAAAGTTGATTTTCAAATTATTTAATTGTTAAAATATATATGGTAGGACTCTCCAAGGACAAGTTGCCATTATAATTTTTTTTGAACTATTTATGTCCCTTTGGTTCGATTCTACTAGTTATAATAGATAGTTTCATGTGCTCAACACGCACCTCCGAAATAACCTTCATCAATACGAAAAGTTGGAGCACCAAAACTATGAAACATTCGAGAAAATACGACAAATGTGGAGCTGCAACCTTTATAGTTACACATAGTTAATGAATTTGTCTAATGAAATTCACAAACCAAGTGTATCATATAAATAATGCAAGTACAAAAGTACTTGCAACTGGGGGACTGATAGTCCACCATTACTTATACCGAACCAGTAGTAGTGATAAAACGTATAATACCGATTTCCGTATCCATCTTACTGTTTATGTTCATCTTTGTTAATATTATAGTGTTATGTGCTTTAAGGCACATCATTGGAAGTCTCTGTTAAACGTGTTCATAACTTGTAGAGACGAGGGTCATTGTGAGTATGGTATATGGTGTAGCGGCTACACTGTAGCCTCTTGTCTATGGTTGAAGACATGTCGATTTTGGTGTGATTTAGTATGGTATTACTAGGTTACTGTATGAGTGTCTGGAGGGGGGTCCTCGATTTTTGTATTCTTTAATTTTTTAGGCCATTTTGCTCTATTCTTTATACATTTTGCCCTTTATTCTCTATTCTTTATATTTTAGCACCTCATTATTCTCTTTTTTTAATTTTTTGGTCGATTTATCTCTATTAATTATATATTTTTTGCCTATTATTCTCTATTTCGTAAAACCCATCCACACCCTCCTGTATTAATAAAAACCTCAAATCTTCTTTCATTTATATTTATAATGAATAATTCAGTACTGTAACTGCTTTAGAAATTTGTAAACTTGTAATGGAAAACTATGTACAATGTAAACTCACAGCTTCTCAATGCGATGAAATTCCAATGGAGGGATAGTTGTATGAAATTAGTATAAATAATCCTCTTTCGTGATAATATGGTAACCAAGGGATTCTACTGGAATTTCCCTGAGATTAATACTATTATATGCGGCATCTTGATTTAATTGGTCATTGCATAACGTTTAAATCTGTGATGTTTGGGAGAGTGTGCCCCTGGACACAATGCTTTGAGTTTCCGTATTAAGAACAGAAAATCTAACTAATAATCTCTGTATCATATGTAATGTAACGGTTGATATTGCTAACATTTCTGTTTTATCTCACCTTTTTTAACAGTCAATTTAAAGCACAAAAAAAATTCAGCTTTCTTAATGCTTAATTTGTATTACATGAGTGGAAATGCTTAATTAGTTTAATATAACGCTAAAATATATCAGACATAAATGAATGTGTAATGGCAATATGGAATGTCTTAATAATTTTACACGTAATTCTCGAATCATAAGAAAATATGAAAGTTAACCTGAAATTTCACTACTTTATCTGATAGACACTTATGTTAAGAAACTTTATTTTGATTATTGTCAGTACGAAGTTGGTTTTTATGTATATGTTGCAGCTAAGTTAGGTTTTTTAATTACGAGGATCTTTCACTGTCAGAATTTTAGCAATTATGGTCTATTTAAAAATGAGAATATGCTAGTATCCTTATCCTTTCAGTAAATGCATGACTTAAAACGATCATTTATTTTTCAAACCTTCTTTTTATTAATGAAGCAACATTTTATTGATGATTATACGGAATACATTGTCATAAATATAACGTAGAATAGTGGCTTTCGGCAAATTGGTAAAAACGTCTCTTTTGGTAACGTACCAACACGTTTGTTTTTCTATTTGTTAGAACGAAACAAATACATTTGATTATTATTGTTGCAGGTGAAAACGTTCAATTGATAATTTAGAAATGTTACAGTCGATAAAAAAAGTTTTCAATATCCGAGAAATGAGAACGAAGTAATTACGTTAAATTAATGGTTTTACATCTTTAGGGGAAGCGATACGATGAAAGTAAAATATTGTATCCGTTGTCATTAAAAGCATGCAATCATCATTTATGCAATAAACATGCCCTCCAATGAAGTTTTTCATCAAAACGGATGAAAGCCATCTGTTACAATACAAGTTACCGTTATTCTACAGAATGAAACAGAACAAAATATATGCTGAATTGCGTATAATTAATTTGTTAATGATATTATGATGGTTGAAACAAACTAAGAAACATCTTAAATGATGCAGCGTTAAAAAGGCAATACATAAATACAGTTTAATAATGGATCATTTATTTTATGACTCTTGCAATTAAAATTAATGATTTAGAACACAAAGACCATATTTCTATCGAAAGCATACATCTGATATGAAGCTTATTATTTCTTATCAACATGGGTAAATTCATTTTTGACGTAATCGCAAACGACATACGCTACAAAGTCTAATAGAGAAAAGTAAATTGAGCTTTATTCCTAATCAAATAATAGAAAAGTGATAACCATTTTCAAAAAAAATAATTAATTTTAGGAATTTGAAACAAATTAGTCTATATTATGATCTATAATGTCACTAAATATCCTCGCGTGATCACATTGGCCTCTCTTTGAAGATTTAAAAAAGTCATCGTTTATGTATAACTAATGATAAAATGTAATGCAAATATTGTTACGACGTTATTTCAAATACAAGCGAACTAAGAAGGCCTACATTTAACAGGGCATGCATAGCTTACCTTTAGAATATAATTCAGCTAGATTTCATTCAATTTTATTTTCTTTGAATCAGTATTTATATATAGTAATATTTACACTTGTAATTTGTATATTTCGCGATGATTTTCTAAGTAGGTTTGGGTAAATTTTATTCAAATGACATTGCCTTAGGACGAGGACAAAACAAATACAAAACATTATTGATTGACCCTGAGTAACACTAGACCTGCGTATGTTAAAGTTTACAGCAGAGTGTTAGAAGAAATTTTAGCTCTAAAATCGTCTAGATGCATATGGAATATATATTTATTATATACTTAGTAGTAAATACAGATAAATTGTATGTGTAATACAGTCATTGGCAAGCGTGCTGTATCAGCCACCCGTGATGATATCGATATCAACACGGTTGCAAAGGCTTTATCACACCTTTAATCTGCATGACGTCACGTCATCGATTGCAGTCACTGTTGCAAAGGCTTTATCAAACCCCTAACCTGTATGACGTCATGTCAAACCTCTAACTGTATGACGTCATTTCAAATCCCCTTATATGTATGACGTCATGTCAAATAAAAAACATTTACATGAGGTACATGTATATAATAAAGTGTATATGATATGGCTTTTTCAATATCACACACCGTATCAACCCTCAACCAATATAATCCCTCGAGCAGAGCTCTTGGGATTATATTGGTGTCTCGGTTTGATACGGATGTGATATTGAAAAAGCCATATGATATTCTCTATATAACGTCAGCTTATAATTACCGATTATCAGGTTTTCTGAATATTGATATTGTAAATTATCCCCGGCTTAGTATATTTCTAGGATTTTGATTGGTTAACGCACGTCAAAACCCATAGCCCCGGGTGTTGCTAACCCATATACCCGGACGTTGCTACCCATTACCCCGGGGAACTTCACGCGCGTTTTCCTTAGTTTCATGGTTGTTCTTGTGAAATATTTAAAAATTCTGTAGATTATCCATGATGTCTGTAATTAAATCCACTAAAGAATTTATCCTTTTATACCGATCATTTGCACTTATTTTAGTAAATGCAGCACTTGGCTGCCACATTATCAATAAATGGGACTACTGACCAAGCTATGCAAATTACCCACGTTAACGTCACACCAGCTATGACGTACCTCTCACAACATTGAGCGCCAAATTTTAAAAACGTCTTATATTTGACTACCTGTAGGGTTCTACCACAGGTAGTACCCTACACCCAGTTAAAAATATGTCAAATTCCCAAATTTCATAAAACCTTTTTTTTTTAAATGAAAAAAAAGTCGTTTCTTTCACGTTACACTTTGTTGTAGAATTTCCCTAAAAATCGCCAGATTCGGAATAAGACCGGGGATAAATTCGTTATATACTTTCATATCCGTAGATAACTTATAGTATCAAACTGCGAGTCATAATACGAGCTTGTTTTAGCGAGTAAGCGCAGCTAACACCGTGTAAAATACAATCGAAAGAACGTTATCTGATTAAAGATTATCGTAACTATATTGTATCCTTGTACATACAGTCAAATCAATACATTACTTATCGACGATTATATCTTACCACTAGATGGCGTCACTAGTGTTGCAGGAACGCTTTACTCTTCCATAGCACCCGAGTTCACACCGAATTTTTTAGTAGGTTGAAGATTTAAAGTTTAAGATCATTTCTGAAAAAGCATTAATAAAAATCTATGTTATTTTCATACATATTTGCAGTACTATTTTTGACATTTTCCTTGTAAGAATATATATTGGTATCATCTGTACTTTTGATTAAATATTGACAAATATAATTAATACGATTTTTTCCTAAGCAATATGTTTATACCTGTAAAAATTGAAATGGTGATGAAAAAAATCGCATTCCACGTAACACCGTTGATAGAATGCATATGGTTAGGGTTAGGGTTAGGGTTAGGGTTAGGACTCAAATCCCTCTTCGGCAAAAGCGAACTGAAAATATTGTATAACTGACACAGAAATTGTATTTGACTTTTTTTGTTTTCTAATTCAATACTGGAATGCAGGCAGAGATTCAATACTTGTCGTTTATTTGAATAGCAGTCACTCAATAAAAGATGTTTATTAAGAAGTCAATTAATACAGGGTGTTTGTTTACTAATCAGTTAATACGTATTGTTTATAAGGTAGTAAAAATAGAGGATGTTTATCATGACATAGG